CGGAGCCACCGACGGCCTGGCCAACGGTGCGGCCACCTCTGCGGCCGGAGGCGACGATGGTGCACCGAGCATGGTCGAATTCAGGGACCCGAGGAACCGGTACATGTCCGACGAGGAGCTCGACTCGATCCTGCCGTCCGAGGGTTACAAGATTGTCGAGCCGCCGGCCGACTACGCGCCCATCCGGACGCCGGCGCGCAAGCTGATGCAGACGCCCGCGCCCCTCGACGGCGGCGGCTTCACGATGCAGGACGAGAACGCCGCCCGCGCCGGCCTCGAGGAGCTCATCCCGGAGCTGCCCACCGACATCCCGGGCGTGGGCCAGCTGGCCTTCTTCAAGTCCGAGGACCAGACGTTCTTCAAAAAGATCCTGCACGAGGAGGACGAGGCGACGCTGTCGAGCGACGAGGTCAAGGAGCGCAAGATCATGCGCCTGCTGCTGCGCATCAAGAACGGCACGCCCTCGACGCGCAAGACGGCGCTGCGCACCATCACCGACCGCGCGCGCGAGTTTGGCGCCGGCCCGCTGTTTGACAAGATCCTGCCGCTGCTCATGGAGCGCACCCTCGAGGACCAGGAGCGCCACCTGCTCGTCAAGGTCATTGACCGCATCCTGTACAAGCTCGACGACCTGGTGCGCCCCTATGTCCACCGGATCCTCGTCGTCATCGAGCCTCTGCTGATCGACGAGGACTACTACGCCCGCGTCGAGGGCCGCGAGATTATCAGCAACCTGTCCAAGGCCGCCGGCCTGGCCCACATGATCAGCACGATGCGCCCCGACATTGACCACGTCGACGAGTACGTCCGCAACACGACGGCGCGCGCCTTTTCGGTCGTCGCGTCGGCGCTCGGCATCCCGGCGCTGCTGCCGTTCCTCAAGGCCGTGTGCCGCTCCAAGAAGAGCTGGCAGGCGCGGCACACGGGCATCCGGATCGTGCAGCAGATTGCCATCATGATGGGCTGCGCGGTGCTGCCGCACCTCAAGAGCCTGGTCGACTGCGTCGAGAGGGGGCTCGAGGACGAGCAGCAAAAGGTCAAGACGATGACGGCGCTGGCGCTGGCGGCGCTCGCCGAGGCGGCGGCGCCCTACGGCATCGAGAGCTTCGAAAACGTGCTCAAGCCCCTGTGGCTCGGCATCCGCCAGCACCGCGGCAAGGGCCTGGCGGCGTTCCTCAAGGCCATCGGCTTCATCATCCCGCTGATGGACTCGGACAGCACGCTCTACTTTGTCAAGGAGGTGACGCCGACGCTGATCCGCGAGTTCCAGAGCGCCGACGAGGAGATGAAGAAGATTGTGCTCAAGGTGGTGAAGCAGTGCGCCGCCACCGAGGGCGTGACGGGCGCGTTCCTGCGCGACGAGATGCTGCCCGAGTACTTCAAAAACTTCTGGGTGCGGCGGATGGCGCTGGACCGGCGCAACTACCGCCAGGTGGTCGAGACGACCGTCGAGCTGGCGCAGAAGACGGGCGTGGCCGAGATTGTGGGGCGGATCGTCAACGAGCTCAAGGACGAGAGCGAGCCCTTCCGCAAGATGGTCATGGAGACGATCCAAAAGGTGGTGGCCAGCCTGGGCGCGGCCGACATCGACGAGCGGCTCGAGGTGCAGCTGATCGACGGGCTGATCTACGCGTTCCAGGAGCAGACGGTCGAGGACCAGGTGATGCTCGACGGCGTCGGCACCGTCGTCAACGCGCTGGGCATGCGCGTCAAGCCGTACCTGACCCAGATTGTGTCGACGATCCTGTGGCGCCTCAACAACAAGAACGCCAAGACGCGGCAGCAGGCGGCCGACCTGACGACGAAGCTGGCCGTCGTCATCAAGCAGTGCGGCGAGGACGCGCTGCTGTCCAAGCTGGGCGTGGTGCTGTTTGAGCAGCTGGGCGAGGAGTTCCCCGAGGCGCTGGCGGCCATCATCAGCGCCGAGACGGCCATCGCCAACGTGGTCGGCATGACGGCCATGAGCCCGCCGATCAAGGACCTGCTGCCGCGGATGACGCCCATCCTGCGCAACCGGCACGAAAAGGTGCAGGAGGCGAGCATCAACCTCATCGGGCGGATCGCCGACAACGGGAGCGAGTTTGTCAGCCCGCGCGAGTGGATGCGCATCTGCTTTGAGCTGCTCGACCTGCTCAAGGCGCACAAGAAGGCCATCCGGCGGGCGGCCGTCAACAGCTTTGGCTACATTGCGCGCGCCATTGGGCCGTCGGACGTGCTCCAGGTGCTGCTGACCAACCTGCGCGTCCAGGAGCGCCAGTCGCGCGTGTGCTCGACGGTGGCCATCGCCATTGTGGCCGAGACGTGCGGGCCGTTTACGACGCTGCCGGCCATCCTCAACGAGTACCGCACGCCGGAGCTCAACGTGCGCAACGGCTGCCTCAAGGCGCTCAGCTGGGTCTTCGAGTACATTGGCGAGATGAGCAAGGACTACGTGTACAGCGTCATTGGGTGCCTCGACGACGCGCTGACCGACCGGGACCAGGTGCACCGGCAGACGGCGGCGAGCATCGTCAAGCACCTTGCGCTGGGCACGGCCGGGCTGGGCCACGAGGAGAGCATGCAGCACCTGCTCAACCTGGTGTGGCCCAACATCTTTGAGACCAGCCCGCACGTGCTGGGCTCGGTCATGTCGGCGATTGAGAGCCTCGAGGTGGCGCTGGGCCCCGGGGTGCTGCTCCACCACACGCTCCAGGGCCTCTTCCACCCGGCGCGCAAGGTGCGCGAGGTCTACGTGCGCCTCTACAACACGACCTACCTGCGCTCCCAGGACGCCCTCGTCGCCTTCTACCCGGACCTCTCGGAGTTTTCAGACGACCGCAACGACTACCGCCGCCACGAGCTCTACACGTTCATCTGACCGCTGCCCCCCCCCCCCCCCCGAGCGCTTGCCCGCCCCCGTTGGCTGGCACGCTCCCCTCCCTGTCGATTCGTGTACCATCAGTTGACCCTGTCGCCGAGCCGTAGCCGCGTGGCGCGGGGGCGGACCCAGGCCGCGGTCTCGTCGTCGTCGTCGTCGTCGTCGTCGTCGCGCTCGCTCTGTGGCAATCGAGAATCTTGACATCTTCTGCCGTGCATCGCCGGCCGGTGCTTTGTCGCGGGTGCGTGGCAGGCCAAAGTGGAGGTTTGTTGCCTCAGCCTGCCTGCTGCCTGCCTGGCTGCGACTGACCGACCGACTGACCGACCGACTGACCCACCAACCGACCGACCAACCTTGCTTGGCTTGTCGGCACGCAGCCCTCCTGCTCACCACCATCACCGTCACTGTCACCATCATCGGCACTACAACGTCGCTCCTCGATCCTGCAACGCCACCCCCCTTTCTCCCCCCGGATCTAAACACAACAGCAGCACGTCGGCCCGAGAAGAGCAGCGCGACCCATGAAGATCTCGATCCCCTCGATCCCGGAAACGTCTTCGCGCGCCGCCATCGAGTATACCCTGCAGCATGCCGCCGAGCTCGTCGCCGCCTTCCTCTCTAACGCAAAGGGAAAAGGCCTCATCATGACCGGTACGTGTACCCGGCCCCCGCGCCTGTTTATTAGCGTGTACCGAGGTTGTCGGCCTGACTCGGAGTCCTTGCCTACCTTGCCCACCCCCTGTCCCCGCCCCTGCCCCTCGGATTCTGCAGGTGCGGGTGCCTCGGTCGATAGTGGAATCGCGCCGTATCGTGGCGAGAATGGGCATTACAGTGAGTCCGCCCGTACCGCCGGGCGTGTGACACGAGACACAGGAGGCGATGCAGAGAGTGCGAGAGGAAGAGGGAGAAGGTGCGCTTTGGAGCGAGCGGCCCGCTGATGTCCTCTCGACCCTACCACACCCCCACCCCACCCTGCAGCCGTGCACAAGACGTATAGGCCCATCTTCTACCACGAGTTCATCGACGAGTCGCCAAAGGGCCACCTGGCCAGGTGCGTCGAATGCACTCAATCCCTGGCACCGGCTGCGGCCACATGGTCGAGGCGACGACGACGCGGCTGACCTCGCTGCCCCCTGCGCCCCCGCCTCGTCGTCCCGCACAGGCAGCGCTACTTCTCCCGCTCCTACCTCGGCTTCCCGCCCGTCCGCACCGCCCAACCCAACAAGACGCACTACTCGATCGCGGCCATACAGCGGCTGGGCTATGTGCCCGAGTTTATCACCCAGGTGCGTCTCGTCGGTCCGAGAGGTTGCCAGACGGCCCGAGCAGGGCCACGAGGGCGGCAACAGGCTGACGCCGGATGAGGCTCGACCTCGCCCTCGCCCTCGCAGAACGTCGACAATCTCCACCATGCGGCGACCCCGTCCCCTTCCTTGGCGGCGTCGACTATCCTCGAGCTGCACGGTGAGCAGCCTGTCCTTTGTTGCTCGATCGTGACGCTCTTTTCGGCTGGCTGACGACTGCGGAGCCCTTGGTCGCCGCTCGTTCTCTACGCTCGCCTCGCTGCTGCAGGCACGTTGAAGAACGTCGTCTGCGTGCAGTCGCCGCCTGCCTACGACCGGTCAGCAAGTCGGACGCCCCTCGACCGGGACCTGTACGACATCCTCTCGGCCTCTCACCTCCAAGGACCCCGGTCGGTGCGGCCCGTGACGGGCAACACGCCGACTGGCGACAACTATCCGCGCGGATGCGGCTTCCGTGGCTCGAGAGCGGCGTTCCAGGATGAGCTTACACGCCTCAATCCGAGGTGGGCCCAGCTGGCGCGAGAGATGCAAGAGACGGGCAAGTCGCCAAAGACGAACCCAGACGGCGATGTGAGTGCAATGCTGGAAGCGTGGGGTGGCGCGGCGCGCAGAACGGCGGCTGCGAGGTCATCGAGCCGCAGGCTGATGGCGGTTCAATCACCCGTGCCCGCTCGCTCGCTTCCTCGTCCTCGCCCTCGGGCCCTTTGCTCCGCAGGTCGACCTCGGCGACGTAGACTACTCGACCTTCAACTACCCCTCGTGCCCCAGCTGCGGCGGCGTGCTCAAGCCCGCCGTCATCTTTTTTGGCGAGTCGGTGCCCGACGTGCTGCGCGACCACTCGTACCAGCTGGTGCGCGACGCCTCTGCGTTTCTGCTGGTGGGCACGTCGCTGGCGACCTACTCGGCCTTTCGGCTGGTCAAGCAGGCCGTCGAGGACGGCAAGCCCGTCCTCATTCTCAACAAGGGCCCCACGCGCGCCGACCCGATCGTGGACAACAAGATTGAGCTCGGCAGCTCAGAGGTGCTCAACGCCACCGCCCGGCTGCTGTCGAGCGGCCGGGAGGAAAAGGACCACGTCCTCCGGCGACTGCTCGAGAGCGGCGTCACGCTCGTGCCCAACCAGAGGCAGGCGGTCGTCTCGAGTTGAGGAGCGTGGGCTGCGGTCGAGACGGGGACAAAGGGGGGCGGTGCCGGATAGATGGATACATGGATGGCCGCCATCTTTATCGTGGATGGCCGCCATCTATGTCGTGGCCTGCCTCTCACCTCTAGATGCCGTCGTCGAGCAACGACGTCCTTTGTCGACGACATATTGATGGACGTTGGAGCGGGTCTGCCCACGACGGACGAGTCTGAGCTTGGCGCGGCCCGATCTGAGTGCGCGGAAAGGCGAGGCGAGGCGGGGTGCAGCCCCGATGGCCTGCCGACGGGATTTTCTGAAAGCCAAGGCGGGCGCAGCCTGGCCTGCCATCCGCCGCCAGGTCGGCTGGTCGCCACCACACCCTCTCTTGCCTTCTCCACACCATCATCCCTCCTCTCTGCGCCACTCCATTCCACCCTGCCTGCTCTTCCTTCGCGGCCTCGGCCGTCCATCACTTGTCCGTCGGATCGGTCATTTTGCCACGGCTACTGGGCCGATTACCACCATCGCCGCCGCCACCGCAGCCTCGAGACTGAACGGGCGCCGACTTCCATGGTCTAGCTTGACGGCAGTGGCCATTGCCCATCCCCGCCACTGTTTTGCATCTCGTTGTACCTTTCACGATCTCCAAGGCCCACAACATTCCACCTTCTAAATTGGCCCCCCGACCATGGCGCCACGGCCGCAGAAGTCGTCGAGCGGCACGCCGGGCGGAGCCTCGGGCACGCCGGCGCCCGAGGAGGGCCCGGTGATTGTGCCCACCGGCAGCTACGGCATCGAGGACGTGCTGGTCGGGTGCAAGATCTTTGTGCAGAAGCCCGACGCCACGACCAAGGAGGTAGAGGAGCGCAAGGCCGAGATCCTCTCGATCCGCGAGAAGCCCAAGCCGCGGCTGACCAAGCGGCAGCAGGCCGAAAACGAGGGCAAGCCGGCGCCGACGCTCGAGGAGAAGCTCGAGTACTATGTGCACTACTGCGAGTTCAACAAGCGCCTCGACGAGTGGGTCAGCGGCACGCGCCTCGTCACGTCGCGCGAGCTCGAGCTGCCCAAGAGGGGCGCCCCCGGCCACGGCAACGAAAAGACCAAGCGCAAGGTGGTGCGCACCACGTCGAGCGGCACCTCGACGCCCGTCTCGACGCCCCTCACGCCGACGGGAAAGGGCAACCGCGGCGGCGGCGGCTCGCAGAACCTGCTCAAGAAGGCGGCGGCGCAGGCGGCCAAGAATGTCAAGATCGAGGACCAGGCGGCGTCCGGCATCGACTCGCCCCTGGCCCAGAAGCGCAAGGCCGAGGGCGGCGGCGGCGACGATGGCGGCCTCGACGGAGGCGGAGGCGCTGGCGACGGGTCCCAGGGCACCAGCGACGCGCGACGGCTCGGTGGACGCCGACGGCGAAGAGGACGGTGCCGTCGTGGCCATGGAGATGGTGGGCGGCAACGACCAGCAGGAGCACGACGACCCGGCGACCGAGACCAACGGCGGCCTGACGGCCTCGCTCAACCAGAACAAGAAGCAGGAGACGTTCAGCAAGGCGCAGGAGATTGAGAAGCTGCGCACGTCGGGCTCGATGACGCAGTCGGTGTCCGAGGTGGCGCGGGTCAAGAACCTCAACAAGCTACAGATGGGCAAGCACGAGGTCGAGACGTGGTACTTTAGCCCGTACCCGATCGAGTACGCCCACATCGACACGCTCTACATCTGCGAGATGTGCCTGTCGTACTTCCCGTCGCCCTACACGCTCAAGCGCCACCGCAGCAAGTGCACGCTGGTGCACCCGCCGGGCAACGAGATCTACCGCCACGAGGACATTAGCTTTTTCGAGATCGACGGGCGGCGGCAGAAGACGTGGTGCCGCAACCTGTGCCTGCTGAGCAAGTGCTTCCTGGACCACAAGACGCTCTACTACGACGTCGACCCGTTCCTCTACTACATCATGTGCCAGCGCGACGACCTCGGCTGCCACACGATTGGCTACTTTTCAAAGGAAAAGGAGAGCGCGGAAAACTACAACGTGGCGTGCATCCTGACGCTGCCGCAGCACCAGCGGTGCGGGTACGGCAAGCTGCTCATCGAGTTTTCCTACGAGCTGACCAAGCGCGAAAACAAGCTGGGCAGCCCCGAGAAGCCGCTGTCAGACCTGGGCCTGCTGGGCTACCGCGCCTACTGGGCCGAGACGATTGTCGAGCTGCTGCTCAAGACGGACGAGGACATTAGCATCGAGGAGGTTGCCCACAAGACGGCCATTGTCCACGCCGACGTGCTGCACACGTGCATGGCGCTCAACATGCTCAAGCAGTACCAGGGCAAGCACTACCTCGTCCTCTCGGATGCCGTCATCGCGCAGCACGACCGGCAGGCCAAGAAGAAGCGCCGCCGCATCAACCCGGACAAGCTCAACTGGACCCCGCCCGTCTTTTCGCGCCAGCAGCTCCAGTTTGGCTGGTGATCCCCCCCTCCCCCCTCTGGCCGTCGCTTGGGTCCGTCCGTTGGTTCGTTTGCCACCGCCGCCGGCAGAGCCGGCCAGGGGATCCATGTCTCTGGGCCTCGCTCTTCCTTTCCCGTGCCTCGTCCCCGTCTCGCTCGCATGTATCATACGGGCATCGCGCTCGCGGCGAGAGACGCGACCGCGCCGCCGCCGCCGCCGCCCCCTCTTGTACTCTAGGCTCGATACCCCGTCCGTCCGTCGTCACTGGATCGCTTTCAGAAATTATCGGTTCACGGCAGGGGGGCGCGAGAGAGAGAGATAGGGAGACGATACACGTGGCGAGGCAGGCGGGAGGATCCGATCTAGGGCTTGACGCCATCCAGTTCGCTGGCCTGTCGTGTCATTGAGCAAGAGGAAGACGGTTCGAGCGCACAGAAAGGGGTTAGCGGGGGTGGTGCAAGGTGAGTCAAGGAACGCGCCACGCCATCTGCCCTTTGCTGCCGAAAGCGAGCGGGGGATTTGAGGGCAACGCCTTTCACCTTTTTGATGGCATCGCTGCCGCTCTCGGTATGGATGACGACGGCGGGGTCCTCGTCGTCACCGTTCTTGGTGACGGTGTTGCCGCGCTTGGTCTTGACCTCTGCCTTGCCGTCGACGACGTCCTTGACCTCGCCCTTTGGGTGGCCCTGCCCCCACTTCCACGAAACCTTGTCGCCCTCGGACAGTTCGTGCGGGTCCGTCGGCATCCTTGCGCTGCTCCGCTTCTGGGAGGTGGTGGTGGTGGTGGTGGTGGTGCGGGAGGGGGAAAAGGCTGGATGGCTTTGGCGCACGAGGAGGCGGAGACAGGTCGGTTGCATCCGCTACGATGGGGTCGTGGGCCTTTTGGATGGAGGGACGAGGTCTGGAGGTGAGTTCGACAAGAGGCTATATACGACGGTGGTGGCGGTGCCGGAGAGAAAGAGAGAGAGAGAGAGAGGGCGCGGGGGAGGATCGTCGAGGTCGTCATCGAGGCTAGCTTGCCCGACAATCGCTTCCAAACGAGCCCACCAGCCAGCAGCAGCAGCAGACAAGACCTTGAGTCGACCGCCACGCCGGACCGGTGAGCAGTACTCGACTAGGTACGTGAGTCGAACGAGGATCTCGTTGAGATGTGGGGCAAGGCTAGGAGGCGTGGTAGACGCTGGCTGACAAAGGCGACGACGATCGTCATCTCGACATCACCCCGGCGCTCGACCGTGGCTGGCCGCGGCGAGGGCAGAGCAAGCTAAGGTCAGGCAAGCTGAGGACGTCGAGGAGCAGGCGGGCACAGGCAGGCAGGCATGTGGGTCGTCAGCTTGAGACCCTGGCCTGCCTGTCAGGCTGCTTGCTGGGGGACCCCGCCTGTCGAGCTTTCATCTCCCTCTCTCTGCTAGCCCGTCATCATCCTCGTCATCCCGGCATCCATCCAGAGTCGCTTGACCCATCGGATCGCCATCACATCTCGCGTCCGACCACTCGGCTCGCATTGGATCGGATCGGATTCGACTCCACGTCCCTCGACGCCCGCCTCGTTCGGATCCGACCAGGCTAGGCCGCATCGACAGACGAGACAAGCCACGTCCGCTGGCCCTCAGGAACCCCCACCTACCCTTGCCACTCACTCGACCCTCGTCCGACGAGCAACTTCCACAATGGTCGACCACACCGTCGTCGCGCCGCCACTGGGCCTCTTTATCGGCCTCTCGTTGGCACGGTACCGCCAGCACTCGCGCGACGTCGCCGGCGGCCAGTACGCCCCGGACCGCCTGTCGAGGCGGTACGGCCTCATCACCTGGGCCTGGCTCCTCTCGCTCTTCTGGCTGCTTTGGTCGGCCCTGGCATAGACTTCGATGGGCGTCTCGACGCATGCCTCGAGGTCGGGCTCTGTGGCAAGCTACCTGGCCCTCCTCTAGCCCCTTGCCTCTTGCCTCTTGCCTCTTGCCTCTTGCCTCTTGCCTCTTGCCTCTTGCCACGGCCGGCGGTGCGTCCAGGAGCGGGCGCCTACCTTGCTCGGCCCTCATCGTCCGACACCCCAGGCCCCCCGACAGGCGCCGAGTCTCCCGGGCAATGCCCGAGCGGCCCAACCCATCCCGCCCGCTCGCTCGCTCGGAGAAACGGCAACGGCACAATCTTTTTCCGTGGCATGGCGACGAGTCTGGTCGGTCCAGGCCGGGGCCGCGCTACGGACGTGACGGTCGAGGCAGCCGGCCCTCTCGCTGTCCACAGCACCGTACCGCACTCCAGCCACACCAAGAGGCTCGCAAGAGGAACCATCATGTGGTCAGCTGCCATCCAGCTGCTGCTCGCGTCCTTCTCTACCCCACACTCCTGCCTGAGAAAGAGGACGCCTTATGCACACCCTCTTCGCCCCCGCCTATACGTACGTCGGTCGTTCCGCGCTCCTCTGTCTCCACGGAGAAACGCCGAGGCGCAAACGAGCCATACGGTGCGCGGCAGGCGGCACGGCACGGCACGGAGCGGTGCGGTGCGGTACGGAGCGGTACGGTGCCCCGTGCCTGGCGGTGCGGTTCGGTACGCTCGGTATGGTTGGTCGGTACCCCACCTTGGGAGGCCCGGTGACCGCCTCTCTGCTCCCCCGCGTGGACCGGAGAGAAAGAAGCAAACGGGCGAGCGCGCGGCTACCTATCTTCCGCACCCACAGCCGTCGCCAGCTTTCAACACGCACGCTCATCCATGCGTCCCCGCCCTCTCGCCCCCGCGCGCCCGCGCCATTGGCAGGCAGAACGTACATACGCCTTGGTTGGCTGGGCATGGGGTCGTCGGATGACGCTTTGCCGGCGTAGCGTGGCGTGGCGGACGTACCGGAACAAACACGCCCCCGCCCCCGCTCGCTCGCTCGCTCGCCCGCCCGCCTGCCCACCCACCTGCCTCTCAAGTCGCCGCCAGCGGCCATCCGCCCTCCCCCCACGCTTCCCGTTCCTCTTTTCTCGCCCAACCTACCTCACCGTGGAAGGGGCGGGGCAACAGTAGCCGGAGTCCCTCGCCACGTCCTGTCGTTTTTGCCGGTGATAGCCAGGTGGCTCGAGCCAGAACGCCGTGGATACGCCACATACGGCAGTACCGCTTCTGGAGAGATCCGATGCGGTGCGGTGCGGTGCGGTGCCAAGACAATGCGGGGAGTTTCGACGCGGCGGTCGACGCGGCCCCGCCCGCCTCTTTGCACGCCTGGCCTGGCCTGGCCTGCCCTGCTCCGCCCGGTTCCTGCTCCCGCTTGCTTGCCATATCGCGGCCTCGGAGAGGCAACCCAACTTGTGGCACGCCGACCGCCCGACCGAGGGACGTGGTGCGGGGCAGGGGTGGCTCAGCTTTGGATCTCCGGGAGTGGTCCATGCACGGGACGGACCATTGGCGGGCAGGCTCAGGCCGGCTAGGTTACAGTAGCAAGCCGGCAGGGCGTGCCAAGACCCACAGGCCAGGCTAGGGTGCCCTGCCCTGCCTGGTCTAGCTGCCCTTGCTCGGCCGTCGTCAGTCGAGACACCAGACGACGTCGTCCGTCACATGCCATATCATCATCCGACACGAGGGCGAGTCGGGACCTAGCGCAAGATGATGAGTGATACGGGTACGTGTTCCAGTCCAGCGACAGGGCAGGCAGGCAGGTCGACGACGACGACGACGACGACGGACCAGCTGACGCGTCGTTGGCCCTCCTATCCATACGTCCCCATCTGATACCTACCGTATCATACCATGCCCCTGCCTACAGCAGCGCTCCCAGGCATGAAACGAGGCGCGGGGAAAACAAATCACGTACGCTGGCGATAGACCGGACCAGACCGGCAGGGCGAGGTTCCAGACCTACCAAACCGGAGCGTCCACGGACTTTTTGACAAATTGCAAAACTGCTCGACGGTCAGGTCAGGCGGAGCAGCAGCAACAGCAGCAGCAGCGCGCTGGGGTGGGGCGAGGTTACAGGCAGGCGGTACAGCACGAGGAGCGGGCGGGGTTGCGTTGCCTCCAGCATGCATGCGTGAGGGTGCGTGGCATCCCGACGGCTTGCCCAGGCCAGGCCAGACGCAACGCTCGTGCCGTGCAGCTACCGTATCGAACAGAAGACGGATGTCCGGCCTTGGCTCGCTGGCCCAGGCAGGACCTTACCTTGGCCGCCTGCCCTGCCCTGCCCTGGCCTGGCCGCCTGGCAGCGCGGGCAAAGCGCACGCGAGCGAGCGGGTGCGGTCCTTTTTTTCGCCCCTGCCTAGCCTAGCCTGTTCAAATCTCCGAGGGAGGCGCGGCTCGCGTGGTCGGGATCTGAATTTGACAAGCGGCGCGCGCGGGCCCACCACCTGCCTACGAGCACCTTCACGCCTCCTCGCTGCCTGCCTGCACACACGCACGTCGTCAGCGCAGGCAAGCGTCGCACGCCAGCAGACGATAGCAGATATAGAGCCCAGAAGGAGGAGGTAGGAGGCCAGGTGAATCAGGGGGAACCCGACCGAGCCAGACACCCGGGGCCAGGACCGTACCTCAAAAGCCAGCGGAGGCAAGGCAACCCCTCGGCTCCCTCCGGCCTCCGTTGCCTGCCTGCCTCGGTGTCGGGTGATGAGGCTAGGGCGGGGGATTTGAGCTGCCCTCCGCATGATTGCATTCAAAGCGCGTCAGGTTTGCCGGCCAGCCCAGGACAGGCTGACCCGACCCGACCCGCTTGCCTGCTTGCCTGCTTGCTTGCTGGATGCACCCCGGCTGCCCACCACCTCCCGCACAGGCTTAAGGTCGACGCAGCCACGTTCCCCCTCGATTTCGAGACCCGCACCCAAACCCACCCGCCGTACGTACGCACGCGCATTCGTGGTGAGAGCGGAGCCTAGCCTCGTGCTGCTGCGCCGCCCCGCCCCCCTTGACAAACCACCGACTCGATCTCATTCATGCCCTCCGGACGCCGGCTACTTTGGCCCCCCCGGCTGGGCGATATGGCGGCCGATAGAGAGTCATGATGACGGAGGGCATGCGTTGCGCACCGCAGCGCAACGAGTTTGCGGCGACGGTTTGGTGGTCTCGCAAGGCGACGAGCAGAGGCTAGGCGGTGGACGAGGTCCAGGACCAGCTTGACAGGCGGGCAGACGCACGACGGACGATCCGCGCTGGCCGCTGCGGGCGCAGAGGCGCTGGCCGTATGTAGCCTCCTGCTGCCTGCCAGCTGGCCCTTCGGTTCGCCTCGGCACGGCCGGGTTGGCCGACGACGCCTGCCTCGGAGCGAGCGCGGGCGACGGCGCCGACCATGCCTTGCCCTGCCCAGCCTAGCCTAGCCTAGCCTATACATACCTCGGTCGCTGCGTGCGTGCCATGTGCCAGATGGGCGCCGGGTCGGCTTTCACCCAGCAGGCCGGGAGGCGTACATAGCAAACTTCCCTTTCAAACACGACGTAGATCGAGCTGGCACCTGCATACACACCGACCTTAGCTTGTTCTCGGTAGGGCCCAGGAGGGAAGCAGCAGCAGCAGCAATGACGGCAGCGGCTGGCTGCGACCTCTGTGGGCCATACACCTACCTACCTACCGACCTACCTACCTCCCTACCTTGGTCTACGTCCGCGTCGTCCGCGGCTCTCGCGACGGACGTCTGAGCTGCTGGGCGGTGGTGCCGTTGGGAGTTGGCCCCACCTGCGCCTCTTGGGGACGGTGCGCTCGATCTCGCGTCGAGGCGCCGAGGCACTCTTTGTTCCGCAGTCAGCCAAGCGGCGCTGTCGTCTTTGGGGCGGTCCATCTCCGATCGAGATCTCGTTGGTCAAGGCGGCATGGCTCACGGGCCGACACCCACAATGGGAAGACAAGGGAACGGACATGCTGGCCGAACAAGAGATATGATTAGAGGAGGCTACATAGGTCAGGGGCGGGCGGAGCGCCCGTTCGGAGGGCGCACGCCGAGCTCGAAGCTGCCAGGCAGGCAGGCAGGCAGGCGAACCAGACTAGGCCAGGCCAGGGCGTCCGGCCCGAACGTCGGCGTCGTGTTGCTGCGTTGTCATCGAAGCGGAAGGGCGAGCCCGGAAGCGGGCGGCAAATGGCAAAGCTAAGATGCAAAGCAGGCAAGCAAGAAGCAAGGCAGGCCAGGAGGCGGATGCTGCGCTGATGGTGGTCTACTGGCCGTCCGCTCTTCAGCACGTACCTGTACCGCACGTCGTGCTTGCTTGCTTGCTGGCTTGCTTGTTCGCTGCGTCGCCAGGCACGCCTGCCCGCCTGCCTGCCTGCCCGCGCGTGGGTGGGCAGCGAATTACTCCGAGCACGGGGAGTTTGGACGCGCGCTGCCCTTCCCTAGCCTGCCCTGCCCTGCCCGGCTTCGAGCGGTACGGTGCGGTGCGGGGGCAGGCGCGGGGGCGGGAGCGGGCGGTCAGGCGGCCCACAGCGGTTGGGTGGTTGGGCGGCGGTGCCGCTTGGGGGCCTGGCCGCCTGGCTAGCTGGCTGCCTGGCGGCCTGGCTGCAGGTCCTTGCAGCCGCCCGCGAGCTCGGGTGCGCAACGTGAAAATCCTGCGGGGCTCGTGGCTTTTTTTCCTTTCTTTGTCGCTTCGCTTCGGTTTTTTTTCTTTCCTCTCCCTCGTCGCCTCCGCGTGCAATTGCGGGGATGGCAGGCAGGCCGCCTGCCTGTCTTTCCCCCGGCCCCCCTTTGGCTGGCCGTGTGGGTGCCAAGACGACATATCCTCCTTTTGCGTCGCCTTTAGCCCTGGCCCCTTTGCTTCCCCGCTCCCCCGCTCCCGTGCTGCCTGGCGCGGCCTTGTTCCTGACTGGGGCCCACGGCGGCGCAGCAGCGGGCGACACGAGTCAACCAAGGCTGGAACTGCTGGCCTGGCCTGTCTCCTCTTTGCTCCTGGCTCCTGGCGTAGGTGGCCTGCCTGTCTGGGCGCATCTGCCTGCCTGCCTGCCTGCCTCAGCTGCCTGTTTGCGAGCGCCGCGTGGTATTGTGCGGAGCAAACAGGCTAGGCCTAGCGGTACTCTGCTCTGTGGACGGGCAGGCAGGCAGGCGTCGAGGCATCCACGTTGCAGAGCGGCGACGCGGGCGGCGGCGGCGGCTCCAACGGCCCATGGCACCTTGGTCCGCACCCTCTGGCTCTCTCTTCTGTCTCTCGGTCTGTCCATCCATCCATGCCAGTCCTCCGGCTGCTGGCTCCATCGTCGTTGGACTACCGCCCTCCCCCGCACTCCGCACACGCTACGCTGCACAGCAGGCTCAGAGGCTAGGGGCGACGGTTTCGCCAGGCTTGCCTCTGATTCGTGGCCCCCACCCTCCTGCCTCTCCACCAGCCCCTCCCCTCCTCTCGGCCCTCCCCTCGTCCCTTCCTCACCCGTCACCTTCCCCGCCACCTTCACCTTCACCTTCACCGTCACCATCGATCCGCCACCACCGTTTCCCTACCATCCTCCCCCTGACCTACCTTTGCGCTGCCGGACAGACTGCCCCCAGCGCAGCCCTTCCTTTTCCCTTCCGCGCCACATCGGCCCGTCATACTGCGCCCCAAGACCTCAGGCCAACGGCACCACCTCTGGCTCACCGAGCGTCGACCTCGTCGATCTGGGCCCCAGTCAACGTCTGACCGCCGACGCAGCCCTCTGATACACCCGCCAGGGCCAGACTCCGCCCATCACGCCCGCCATATAGACGGCTGGAGTTGCACCGCACCACTCTTGGCGGCTACGACACACGACAGCCTCGCGCGCGCCCCCTCCGGTGACATTCGCCCCCTCGCCGCCATCACCACCATGTCCGACCGCTCCAACGACGGCCGCACGCAGCATGCCCCAAACGGCGAACAGAGCAGACGCACGCCGCTGCCACCTCTCGGCAGTGACAGGCTACCCCCACTAGCCGGCCCGGGTCCCCTGTCGACGTCGTCGTCGTCGTCGTCTTCGTCATCATCCGCCAACAACAAGCCTGTCCTCAGCCTGCCTCCGCCGCCTCCGTTTCGCATGCACTCCTACCACCACCCCTTGCCTGCCAGCTCCTCATACAGTACCAGCTTCGACAGCTTCGATCGCGACCGTGGGCAGCCCCCCACCCAGCAACAGCCCGTCACGCCTCAGCCCGCGCAGTCGGGCTCGCCCCACCGCTGGTCCCGGTCAACTGCCGACCCCGCCAGACCAGACAACGGCCAGGGCGAGCTGCCGCGCTTCCTCGTGCAGCGCTCCGGCTCGTCGTCGAACAACTCGTTCCAGCTGCCACCCCTCTCGGCCTCGCTCGGCTCCCTTCCCGGATGGAGATCGGTCTCCAACGGCGACGCCATGCGCAGGTCCCCCGTCTCGCCAGGCGGTCACGGCCCGCACATTGACGCCTTCCGTGAGAATGCGGCCATGATGCTGGGGGCGCGCGTCGACGACCGCATGCTCCCGCCCTACAGCCCTCCGCTCGGCGTGCCGACGGCTTCGCCCCTCGACTCGGCCATGGCCGCCAGCTCGTCAGCCTCCTCCATCGGGCGCGACGCCATGGCCGCCGCCGGCGCCACCAGGAAGATGGCCAAAGCTCATGTCCCCTCGGCCTGCCTCAACTGCAAGCGCGCCCACCTCGCCTGCGACGTCGGCCGCCCGTGCCGCCGCTGCATCAACCTTGGCAAGAGCGACACGTGCATCGACGTCCAGCACAAGAAGCGCGGCCGCCCGCGCCTAAAGGATCGCCAGGAGTCGCAGACGAGCGTCACCCGACCCAGCACCATGGTCGACGGCGCGGCGGGCGTCGGCAGCGACCGCGCGTCGACCTCGCCGTCGTCCTCCATGGGCCTGATGCGCTACTCGCCGGCATCCGAGCCGTCGTACTTCCAGTCGCCGCCCAGGCAGGCGGGCATCCTGTCGCCGCCCATCTTGTCGTCGTCGATGTCGTCGTCGTCGTCGTCGTCGATGATGACGAGCACCGCGGTGCATCGCGTCTCTGGCCCCACCCACGGCGCCCATCCGCAGACCCGGACGCCGTCGGCTTCGGTCTCGGCATCGAGCTACCCCTACAGCCGTCCGGACCACGCCCGCACCTTTTCCGACGGTCACGCCGCGTCGGCTCAACCGGCATCGGCGGTCGTCACCATCATCTGCTCGACCAACCTGCAGTGCGCGCGGGTCTCCGAGGACTGCCAGGTGCTCCTCGGCTACCAGCCGTCCGAAGTGCTGGAGCGCTCCCTGTTCGAGCTGGTCCACCCGACCGAATCGACCCGGCTCGAGGAGCTCTGGACGTCGCTCATCGACCCCGTCGGCGTGCTTCCGCAGGCCGTCCCCGCCTCGGCCGAGGTCGTCATGTCGACGCCGCCCGCCCGCCTCATGGCGCCCGCCGCCGGCACCATCTTTGTCCAGGAAAACATGCGCCTCCGCCAACGCAACGGCATGTACGACTTCTACAGCATCCGCCTGCACCTCGGCGGCGGCTTTGGCGTCGACCTCTACCGCCGCGAGACGCTGGACCGCGCCTACATCGTGGCGAGCCTGCTCAAGCTCGGCAACGACGCCACCCACCCGGACACGGCGGTGCTGCGCAACCCGTACGGCGGCGCGAGCGCTGCCTTTGGAGGCCCGGAGTCGGCCTTCTGGACGCCGACGAGCCGGGAGAGTGCCTCGTCCCGGCCAGGCGCTGCCAAGGGGTTTGACGGCCAGCAGGCGCCGAACGGCGGCGGCCTGCCCGCGTACGCGCCCAAGGCCGACCCGCAGTACCGGAGGCAGCAGCAGCAGCAGCAGCAGCAGCAGCAGCAGCGTTCGCCGACGTTGCACGGCTTCCAGTGCGAGCCAGCCAGGCCCAGTGGTGCCTCGGCGGGCTTCGCCATCGCGAGCGAGACATCGACGACGGCACGCGAGGCTGCGATCGCGCGCGGTCCGCCGTCGCCCATCCGCGCCGAAGCACCTGCGTCGCTCCCTCGTGCACAGAAGACGAGGCAGTCTCCGCCGGCGGCGTCGCGAACGGCAGCCGAAGAGCACGATGGGCCCGCCCGACGTGACGAGGCGGTGCCGAGCTATAGCAAGCTGGCCAGTCGCACCAACGCACGGCCAGCGGCTGCCGTGGCGGGCGCCACGAGTCCGGCAGGTAAGCGCCGCAGCAGCATTTCAATGTCGGCGACGTCGCCGCACGCCAGCTTCCGCAGCACGGTGCTTGCGTCGTCGAGGCGCACCTCGTCGAGCCGCGATGGCATCACCTGCTAGATGGACTGCCTCCGCGACGTCCGCCAACGTCGTCAGTGCCAGCCACGCCACGACGACCTGTCCCCCTTCGACTGCCTTCCGAAACCACTCTCTCTCTCTCTCTCTCTCTCTCTCTCTCTAATCGCGACACGAGCATCGCCGACTTCTTGGCGCCTTCCCTCTCTCTCTCGCTCTCTCGTGTCTCTCTGTGTGTCTATTCCGCCGACCTCACCGACCGATCTTCCTGGAGCAAGAAACCCGAACAACGACGAGAAGCAACGCCAATGCGTCCACGGGATGGAACTGAATCGGCATCGTCACCGTCACCGTCATCACCACGCCTTGGGGACTGGCTCTTCGGCCGCCAGCCAGTCAGCCAGCCAGCCAGCCAGCCGTCACCTATGTCAAGCACCTTTGGCCCACTGCCGGCCCGCCCGCCCGCCTAGCCCTATACGGCACTCGGAATCGCACCCCCTTCTCTCGTGATCCTCCCTTCTTGTCCGCCACGGTCCCTTTGACGGCTCCGTCTCCGGACGGCACCTTGTTTCTACTTCTTCCCCTCGTCGTCGCTCCCCTCCTCGTCTCTCCCCCGTTTTCGTCTCCCTCTTTCTCATCTCGGTTCGACATGGGCTGTATTTGTACCTCGCTCTTCGTGTTGGTTGGCCCGTAGCCGTCTGTTTTTGTCCATCTGTCGACCCCGGTAGCGCACGCACATCGATGGAACTTGGAGCTTTGTCGCGGGTCCCCTACCTTTTCTTCTCGCCTCGGCCCTGTTGCCACGGAACCTTGATGGATCGATCGATCGTCCGGCCGTCCGTGCCTGTCCGCCTACGGTGGCGCCGAGGCAGTCGTCTTGGCCGCCTGTCGTCTTGGTCACACCCACACCCACACCGCTGCGGTTGGCGAGGTAGGCCGTGGGGGCTGAGCTGCGCTTCTTCAGCCGTGGATGCGCAGCGAGGGGCGGCCGAGGGGAGGCGAGAGGAGCGGATCGGATCTCGGGCCTCTGCCTGCCTGCCTGCCAGCCTGCCAGCCTGGCCCCCGTCCCGATGCAGGCGATTTCCCGCCCAGCAGGCGAGAGGGAACTTTGGGATCTTGACTTCGATAAGGCCCACCAGGCGCGGGCAGGCCCACCAGGCAGGCCCAGGCGCAGGCGTCAAAGAAACTCGCGGCGGGCGGTTTCTTCTGGAAACTCGACCCGTGGGGAGCGAGGCGGGCGTGGGCCCTGGCTGGGCTTGGGCACGCCGCTCTGACCCTTGCTCGCTCGGTTCGTCTGACTACATCCTATCCCCACCATCCACCCACCACCACCCTCTCTAGCGTCACCGCCTCTGCCTCTGCCACTGCCACTGCCATCAGGACCGCGCCACCACGGCATCTCTGGACCACACCACTTCTTTCGAACCCGACCGGCACCAAGGCCCCTCGTCCGCCCTACCCGTCCATCGTTGCCCGCCGCCGTCGTCACCTCGCGCCCGTGGCCGTGCATCAGGTCGACGACGCCGCACCGACTCGGCACCGCCGTCCCTCTTGATCGCTCCCTCCGCCACCATCACCCCCTCACCTGCATCCGACGCTTTCCTCTCGCTGCGCCCCTTCGCGCTCCGAGCTGGCTCGCCCCCCGTCGACGTCCTTGCATGTCTTCCTGACAACCTCGTTGGTCGCAACCGGGCCATACGACACGGCCATCCTTCAGGATCTCGTTCCGTTCGCCTGCTCCTCTCCAGCGGCTCCGATCGGCAGCTGACGTACGCTCCAACTCGTCCCGCCCGCCAACATGTTTGCGTCGCTCCCTGCTGCGCAAAAGAAGCGGCAGCGACCCTCGGACGGCGGCAGGGGCGCCACCTCGGGCTTCATCTCGGCGTCCCTGGCCAGTCCAGCCGCCCACGCCGCCTCGTCGTCTCAGAACAGCGTGCCACGGGCCTCGACCAGCGCGGCCAGCTGGGGCGTCGCCCAGCTCTCCGACTCCGAGGGTGATGCCGACCTCGACGAGCCCGCTTTTGCTCAGCCCGCCTACCCGCACACCGCTCTCTCCTCTGCCGTGCCGGCTGTCGAGCCTCCGCCCTCCAAGAGGCCGCACCTGGACGAGCAGACGTCGGGCCGCTTTGCAAGCATGCGGCTCGATACGCACGGCCTCCATCGTGGGCCCCGACCGTCTCCTGGCGCTCCACCCGCCGCCGCCGCCGCTGCGGACCATCACCACCCACATCGACACCAACACCATTCCACACTGTCGAGGAGGCGCGGCGTAGGCGGCATATTTGGCCAGGCCAACCTTCCTCGCGGTCTGTCGTTTGACCCGATATCCTCCACGGACGGCGTCCATCCCCCGGCATACCTGGCAGCTCCTCCATCTAGCCCTATCAAGGCATCTGCCCAGCTTGCGCCCTTGCCAGACGCCATAGTGACGGCGCCGCCGACCTCGCCAGAACCCCTACAACGGAACCAGCACCATGCCGCCGCACCACCCGTCTCGCCCGTCCACTCGCTGCCGCCGCCGGCAAAGGAGCGCGATGCATGGCTGCCCCCGCTGACAGTCGAGACCCGCGACGGTGACATCGAGGACATGGACATGCGGATACGCCGGGATCCGACGTCGTACGAGATCGAGCCGGACCGCATCGTCGTCAACTCGCTCGACGACACGTCGTCTTCCGAGGGCGAGGACGGCGCGGACGACGACGACGACGACGACGACGACGACGACCGCACACGCGCAGAGCACGCGCTCCTCGGCGGCGGCGTGGCTGACGAAGGCCAGGGCCAGGAGGGAGGCGCGGCGGGCGGCTTTGTCGTCAACAAGGAGCTCATGGACAAGCTCGAGGCGCACCGGAGAGCGGTGCTGACGGGCACCTCGGACCGCGACAACGAGCAGTCGGCGCGCGACGCAAAGTCGGCATCGTCGCTCGGCGGCGGCGGCGGCCGCACCCGGCGTGGCGGCCGGAGAGCGGGAGGCAGCCTGTTTGGCGGCCTGGGCTCGCTGCTGAGCTCGCGCCGGAGGTCGGCGCAGTCGTCGCAGGCGTCGTCGCCGGGCTACGCCACGCCCATCACCAACGAGGAGGCCAACGGCGCCCTCGTGCTGTGGAAGGATCCCGAAGAGGTGCTCCGGGTCGCCGCAGCCTCGGCGTCGGCTGGTTGTGACGGCAGCGAGACGGCGCGCGCGAACGCTGGCTTTCCCGGCAATGCGAGCGTGGCCCCCGTGCCGTCGTTGTCGTCATCCTCCGTGCCACAGACGAACGGCCGTGGCGGCGGCGGCGGCGGCTTCTGGTCAGTCCCTGGCGCGACGGCGACCGCCACGGCACCACAGCAGAACCACGGCGGGGGGATGTCGTTTTCGTTTGGCGAGGCGAGCAGCCCGCTCGCGGCGCAGCAATCCTCGCTCTCGTCGTCGTACTTTGGACAACCCCGCGACGGCTGGCAGCATCTGCACTCGTCGACGGCCGAGCAGCAGCAGCAGCAGCAGCAGCAGCATCGCCCATCAATGTTCCCGCCCATGGGGCAACAAGCGCCACCGCCACCACCACCGCTGCCGCAGCCGCCGTTCGGGCTGAGCGAGGGGCGCTGGCCCGCCTCCCGGGATGCGGCGCACGATGCGGATCCGTCGAGCCACTTTGGAATGGCCGACGAGATGGAGCTCGACAGCTAGGGCAGTCGAGGCTGCCGTCGGGCCTGCCTGCCTATCTACGGCCCCCGTCGTCCTGCCATCCCAACCCGACCCTCCGTTCGTCCTTGGTTGCCCCGTGTGCTCTACGTCTCGACGACATGCGACCATCATCGACACTCGCCGTCCCGATTTCACTGCCGCTCTCGTATCTCGACCTTCCGGCGTCGATCCATCTCGCCAGCCGGGGTCCAGAACCATCTACCCGCGTCTGTCTGTAATTGTACCTCGTACCGCCGTTGTGCACTTTTTCTCGCCGTACTCGCCAACTCGGCCGGCCGGCCGGCCGGTCTGTCTCGTCGCGGAACCTTTCCTCGTCACCCGGACCGTCGGTGAGGTCTTGCTGTTGCCAGAGCGGGTCGATGGTGCCAGACGACGGGCTGCGGTCAAGACCCGTTCGGTTCACACGTACCTCTGTTTCTCTTACCTCGCTCATGGCGAGGCAGGAACGCAGAGCAGCGCAACGCAGCGCAGCGTACCGACGGCATCGGCACCCGCCAACGAGGCGGGCAAGCGAGGATAACCACACGAGGTGCCTGACCCGATCCGATCCGACCGGGCCGGCTTGGCTTGGCTTGGCTTGTGGTCACCGTACTTACCATACGGCAACGGATCTGGCGCTGGGGCTGGTACGGTGATGTACGCCTTGCTTGACGTGTCTTGCCTCGCTCAGCAAACCGGTCAACAGCCCGCCCCGCGAGCAAGCAACCAAGCAAAGGCAGGACGGGGCCAGAATAACCTTAAATCTGACGGTCCGTAGGCGTGTTGGCTGGGGCGGAGCTTCGTCGCTTTTAGCCCCTCGCAGGCCCCCTCATGGACGTCGGCGTCCTTGCGCGCGGCTACCGTTCGTTGACCCTTGCCTGGTAGGCCGAGGTTCCGCCAGAGTCTTGCTCGCGGTCGATGTAGATCGCACGTACGCTCCAGAGGTTCTTCCGCCCTCCCCTGGCCTGCTCGCCTGCTCGCCTGCTTGCCGAGAGCGGGTAAATGAATGGCATCGCGAGGGACGAGCGGGCGGTAACTACCTACAGGTAGGACCGGCGAGTACAGCAAGCGGGCCGATGCGGACAGGCAGGCTAGGGCAAGCGAGAGAGGGAGCGACAGCAAGCAAGCAAGCCAGCAAGAAAGCAAGAGACAGCCAGCCAGCAGCGACGACCAGCCGAGGCCGAGGCGGAGATAAGGTCCCGTCCGCCACCGTAGCGCTGCACGAGGATGTGCCGCAACGACGGCCAACAGCTAGTCGATGAATGGATCGACAAGCCCAGTAGTTGGGGATCGCAGGTCCCGGCACCCCGTACGTAGGCGTACGCGCAGCATGCCAGCAGGCCTGCCGCTGCAGCCGTGACCACTGCAAAGCAAGGCGCAAAGGTACGTACGCGCGTACAATACGGCCAGGCCAGGCCAAGCCACGGTACGGCAAAGAGGCCGGTGCCGCTGGGGACGTGCCACATGACGGACGCGCGCGACCGGGGCATCCGTAGCAAGGCCACGGCCCAGCAGAAGCTGAGCATCGCATCGCATCGCATCGCATCTCGATATCGATGAAGATGGGCACCGCACCGGTACGGGTTGGGATTCTTGTCGCGACCGCGCGCGCGCGCGTTTGGGGCCGGGCGGGCCAAGGAAGAAGCAAGGCTGGCTGGCTGCTGGCTCATGCGCCCGGTGGCAGACCGAAGAGGGAGATCAGAGGCAGGCACGCACGGAAGCAACGCAACCCTGCGGCCGCCAATCTGCTGGAATCTTTGTTGGAATTGACCGAGGCACGCCACCGTCGTCGCTTCACCCGCCCTCGAGCCACAGTAGCCAACGAGCGAGCAACACAGAGAGAGAGAGAGAGAGAGGAGATGCTGTCGACTCGTGCCGCCGGTGACGATGCCAACCTCGAGCGGGTCTAGGACGAGCGAGTAACCTTAGAGTAGCGGCACCTGCTGCTGCTCCTCTACCGGCTGCTGCTGGCTGCTCTCCCAACGGAAACCGACCCGACCAGCTGGGGCGCAGTGGCCTAGGCAGGATGCCCGAGCCTGACCTGACCTGACCTTGCCTGGCCTGGCGGGCGCACACTCCCGCACGCACGCACGCGCCTCTCCCTCTTCTCCCTCTCTCTGGCACCTCGCTGCTGGCCTGCCTCTCTCTCTCTCTCTCTCTGTCTGTCTTTGCCGCTGCTCGCATGGTGCGGCACCCGCCTGGCGGTTGACGATGGCCGGTCAGCTGCTCGGCATGGCCTCGATATTCCTGTCGCCGTCGCCATTGTTTGCTGCCATCATGGATGGCATGGCATGGCATGGCATGGCATGGCATGGATGGCATGGGCTGGCTGATGCTCGAACATGCTCCGCCGCGCTGGCTGCCCATCTGAGGGCGCTGGCAGGTGTCGGCTCTAGCTCGCTCGCCTGGCCTCCTCTGATTTGCCTCTCTGGATCTGTCCAGGCGACCCGCGTCGGTAGCTGGGCCGCCTGCGCCAGGAGGGCCTGCACCTGCACCTGCGCCTGCACCCGCCCGCTCACTCTCGCTCCTCGGCCGCTTTCGAGTCGTGCCGGCCTAGCCTAGCCTAGCCTGCTGGCCTGGCCTGGCTTGGCCTGGCGGGGCTGGCTGGTGCGGGTGCCTCGGCTGGTTTGCACGTCGGCCGCTGCGCTCCTCGCCTCTTGCACCACCGCATCCTCTTCCGCCGCTTTGCCAGCCTAGCCTAGGCCTCTCGGTCGCCCTAGCTCGCCCTAGCCTCGTCGCCTCCTCGCCTCGTCGCCTCGTCGCTCTCTTCCTCGGCCCCGTCACGCTCTACCCGCTCTACCTACGCTACACCCCATCACACCACGATCCCCCCCTTCGCCCGATACCTTGGCGAGCCTCTCGCCTGCCCGTCTCCCTTTACCCATCTCCATCTCCATCTCCACCTCCATCGCCGTCTCCCATCTCATTCTCTTTGCCCATCGGAGCCGCCGCCGCCGCCGCCGTCACGACCACCTCGTTCCAATTCCTTGGACTCTTTACGCGCTCCTCCCCCCGGACCCTCGCACCCTCGCACCCTCGGAACGCCGGACCCTGCTCATCCACATCTCGACAAAGCATCGTCCAAGGGTCGTCTCATCGTCGCCGCCGCCGTCGTCGTCTCCCTGTACCATCTCTGCCGGCCAGCACACCTGCTCGCCCGCCGCCCACTCCCCGTCGCTTGCTTCCATCGTCTGCCTGCCATCGTCTCGTCGCCCTCGCCCTCCCTCTTTGCGTGCCCGGAAGAGTCACCAACCGCAACCACCCTCCTTGCCTCGCCTCCCTCTCCTTGACTCTCATCTCCAATCGCACTACTGCTCCCGCTCTTGGCCTCTTCCCCTCTCGAACCCGCCCTCGGCCTCGACGCTTGCTCCATATTGTCTCAACCCCGGTTCCTCGGGCGCACGGACGCTCCCAGACAACCGCCGCATATCGCTCGGCCCGGCCTTCTACAGATCGAGGCCCATTCCAACTCGCTCCCTCTGCGCCTCTTCGGGCATGGGCTGCTGCCGGCCTGCATCGAGATATACGTCCCTCCCAGCCAGCCCGCCTAGCCTGCACATACACATCGATATCTCAACCCACCACGCACTCCGCCACTCGACGCCGTTGCCCCCGCCTCCGTCTCCGCGCCCGGTCAATTAGCACGCGCCACCCTGCCTCTGCCGGCATCCTTCCACACCCGCTTCGGAGCTCATCGACCGCGGAGCCGCCCTCTAGACGACCGGCCTCGTGCCTGGGATCTGGAAAACGTCAGACTGGCCCGCGCACGCCTCACCGCCTTCCTTTGGCTCCCCATACCCCGTCTCGCGGCCGCAGCCCATCACCCACGGGCGAAACGCACCGACCTCTTGCCCATTCGCGGCACGCGCAGCCCTTCTCTTGCAAACCACGACGCACCCGCACCCATCTCCTCTGCCCACCGCCAGCTGCACCGGGGGACTGCACCCGTCGCCCGCTCCGCACCACGCCACTTGCTTCTGCACTTCACGGCGCTAGATACCCACACATGTCTGCACCTGGGCCCGACTCGTGAGTAGCCGGCGCTCGCCTGCGTATGCATGCCTATACCGGCTAGCCAGGACAACGGCACTGGCCACACCTGGCTCCCCCATGCATGGAGCACTCCATGCGCTCGCTCCTCCTCCTCCCTGACACCCTCGACCTCTGCCTGCGATCATCGACACATCTGAAACCCTCGTTCCCCCCTCTTGACTGCTGACAGCCTCACGTAGCACACGATCAAGGCCGCCGTCCAGCATCCGACTCCATCGGACCAGTCACGGGAGGTGGGGCAACCGGCGTTTTCCACCAACTGCATCGATCCTGCCCCTCTCTTCTCAGCCGAGATCTGGCGAGACTACTGCTCGCCCGCCCAGCAGCAAGGCGCAGGCTACTCGAACAACTCCAGGGCGAGTTGCTGTGGGAGTTGCGCGCTCGGCCTTGCTTCAGCTGCACCGGCTTCCACATCCCTCGAGCCACTCCTCGCCTAGCCGACACGGCTTTGATCGGCCCACGACCTCTCCTGCGTACCCTGGCTCGGCCATACCCGCCCTTGACTGAGAGCGCCGTCCAGGACCAGGGCGCAAAAGCCCGGACCAGGCATTGGGCGGGCCCTCTCTGATACAAGATGTATCAGAATCACTGGCAGGACAGCGCCTCTACCTCGTCCTCGTCCACCTCTTGGGGCCAGAGTGTGTCCGATTCGGGCACCCGATTGGCCTATCAGGATGGCCAGCAGCAGCTACAGCCGCAGCAGCACCAGCAGCACCAGCAGCACCAACATCAGCAGTATCAGCAGCCTGGCGCGCAGTTCGGGCAACCGGGCCTCTCGTATGCCGGCAACTACTCCGAGCAGGGGCTCGGTCCGGCGCAGATCGGCTCCAGCAATACGCTGAGCGGCGCTTTGAGAAGCATCGACCCAGCACCTGGTTTCGACGCACCAGGCTCCGACATGATGCAGCTCTCCGACGCCTATCAGCAGCAGCAGCACCAGCACCAGCAGCAGCAGCAGAAGCCGAGGTCGTCGCAGGAGACTCATCTGCATACCCATGGTGTTGGGCCGCATGCAGCTCACGCAGCCGCTATGTCCGGCCAGGTACAGCAGGCGCCGTACGAGTACAGCCAGGAGATCGCCCTCATGGGCGGTGCAGACGATTATCAGCCGGCCGAGGACCCCTCGGCGTTTGCGGCCTTTTCGCAGCCCCAGCTCGACATGGACGAGGCGGGTCAGATCGAGTCGGGACTGCGCACCCTGTCAGGTAATAGCAGCTCGGCCATTTCACGGTCCAACACCAACGACATGAACCAGCTCGGGCACCACGAGGGCGCCTACTATTCGGGCAGCGCCTCTAGCAGCGGTGTCGAGGACCCGTCTTCCCAGCAAGGCTACGTCGCACCTCCATCCTCGACCGTCCACGATCCCTTCCAGCAGCAGCAGCAGCAGCAACAAGAACAACGACAATACCACCAGCAGCAGCAGCAGCAATACCAGCACCAAGAGCAGCAACAGCAGCAGCAGCAGCAGCAGCAGCAGCAGCAGCAGCACCATTCAATGAGCCAGCAGCCCGGGCAGCTGTTCTACAGCAGCGCCGGGCAGCAGCCTGCCGCAACAGATCCTGGGAACGGTGCCCAGCCGTGGGGGAACCAGCCCCACATGGCGATACCTGACGTCGGCACCCAGAACGGCATGTCCAGCATCCTCCAGCGGCCCAACAAGCCGTCTGCGCTCAACCTCGACCGGTCGCAGAGCGCCTTCAGCACGGCTGCCGACGGCACGTCGACCGATATGGGCCTAGGCGGCTACAATTCGGGCGTCGCAGGCTACGCGGACCTGCCGCATTCGGCGGCGAGCCAGGGCAGCATGCTGACGCCGCAAAACGCCCGCTTCGTGTCGGTGCCGCAGCTGCCGCCTTCGATGTTTGAGGATACGCCCTCCGGCAACGCAGCCGACGACGGCGGTGGAGCCGCAGGGCTCATGCCCGCGTTTGGATCCGAGGCAGGGTCCTCGACGAGAAGCGGCAGTGGGATCGGCTCGCTCGCCGGACAGGCGCAGCAGTACGGCGGGCGGATGGACGACGGCCGCGGCCGTCCGATGGCCAACATCAAGATGGAGGAAGGCGGCGAGGCTGCCGCGTTGGGCTGCGCCGTCGATGATGCGGCTCGAGATCCCGCCGTCGCCCGGCTCGCCGCTGCAGGCCAGCTGACGGCCAGTTCAGCCCGAGCTCGACGCTGTCGGGAGCGTTTTCCTCGCGGCCAGCAGCCGACCGGGCAGCCAGGGGCTCAAGTCGGTCGCCAGCTTCACCTCGTCGCTGGGAGCCGACTCGGTGGCCACCGACGGCAACGGGCGGCCGCGCTCCGGCTCCAACGGGTACGCCCTCGGCCGACCCACGATGGCGCTCAACCGCACCGTGAGCATGGGCAGCGGCGATGCCAGCTTCAGCCCCGGCGGAGGTGGCGGCGGCGGCGGCCATCCTGGATCGCTCACGCAGAGCCGCAGCGTGCAGAACCTGTCCAGCCCGGCGCAGAGCCTGCATGGCTCCTTGGGCCAGCAAAGCTTTGATCCGACCTGGGGAGCCGCGGGCCGCCAGCTCTCCTCACTCTCTCAGCAGTTCCAGAGCTCTGCCTTGGCCTCGCCCGCCCAGTCGCAGTACTCGCCGCAGACCTACTTCAGCCAGCCGCCGGCGCCGTCGTCGGATGTGGCGGCCTACTTTTCGCCGCCGCCGCCGCCGCCTCCCGTCGAGGGCGGCCACCGCTTCGGGTCTAGCGGCAGCCTCGCCTCGGACAGTCTCGATGCCAGCGGTTTCAGCGAGCAGCGCCTGTCCAACGCCCTCGCCGCCAGCGCGCAGATCAGCTCGAACCCCACCCCGACCCCGCAGCCGCACGGCCACGGCCACACCAACAACCGCGACGGACACAACACACCGACAATTATGGAGGAAGAGGACGAGGCTGGAGGCCTGCCTGCGGACCGCGAGCTGAGCAAGCCAGAGCCGCAGCTGCGCTCGGCGCCCAGCCAGACGCAGCTGGCCCACCTGCAGGCCGCGCAGCAGCAGCACCAGCAGCAGCAGCAGCAGGCGCTGCTGCACCGGTCGCGGTCCGGAGGCCTCGTGGCCAGCCCCAACACGGACACCACGTCGCCCTTCCAGCCGCAGGTGCCGTTCCAGCCCAACATGCGTCCGAGCCTCTACCAGCAGCTCTCGCTTACCGAGCTAAACCAGGTCCGGCAGCTGCACGGCACCGCGTCCGAGTCGCACATCGGCGACTGTTCCTCGTTCATCCAGTGAGTGCCGGGCATGCTGCAGCCGCGTCTCGACGACGCCTACCAGGCTGACCACGTGGCCATCGCTCCGTTCCCTCTGCACCCTCGACCGTAACCCCCACTCGTGACAGGGACATCATCCGACAATACATCACCACGACCAGCCGGCTCGGTCTGGGCGAGCGCAACGTCCTCATCATGACGACCAAGGTGGCGCAGAAGAGCTACGGCGCCGAGAAGAGGTTCGTCCCTGTGGCCTTGCCCGCCCCCGATCCTGCCTGCGCCTGGATTCTGACTGACAGCCCGATTGCCGCCGCCGATCGTCCTTCTGTCTCCTCGCCTCCCGCTCCCCCTCGCGTCCAGGTTCCTCTGCCCGCCCCCGATGGTGCTCCTGATCGGTAGCAGCTGGTGGAACGTGTGCGCCGACGCCTCGCGGCCTCCGCCGTTCCAGATGGGAGGCGCAGGTGCCGGCGAGACGGACCCGGTGCCCACGGTGCTGTCGCCGCCCCGGCTGACGATCAACATTAGCGGCGAAGCGGCGATCCAGGATGGAGCCTTGGAATGGGCCTCGAGCAGCGGCAAGCTGATCGACGTCGGCAACCCTTCGTCGGACATGGCCATCTCGGGCCGCTGCATCGGCAAGCAGCTCTACATCTCCGACGTCGACGAGAAGCGGCGCCACGTCGAGGCGCTCGTGTCGATCTCGGTGCCCGGCGCCTCGCCGCTCGACCGTCGGCTGCTGGGCACGTTTGCCAGCAAGCCGATCAAGGTGATCAGCAAGCCGAGCAAGAAGCGGCAGAGCTCGCGCAACACTGAGCTCTGCGTCAACCACGGCTCCGTCATCTCGCTCTTCCACCGCCTCCGCTCCCAGACCGTGTCGACCCGCTACCTGTGCGTCTCGGGCGCGCCGTCGTGGTTCAAGGGGTCCGACAACATGCCCTTCCTCAACATGAACCCGCGCGAGATCAAGGGCCAGGAGACGCCGTCGTGCTTTGTGGCCAAGATGTCGAGCTGGGACCCCTTTATCATCTACCTCGTCGACCCCAAGAAGCGCGCCGACGCCGCCGCGCCCGCCCAGCAGCAGGCGCCGCCGCCGGTCAAGGGCTACCCGCCGCCGCCGCCCAACGCGCTGCCGACGAGCGGCCTGACGAGCTCCCAGATGACGGTGCACTACAACCAGCCGATCGTGCTCCAGTGCCTCAACACGGCGGTGGTGAGCCCAGTCATGGTCATCCGCAAGGTCGAAAAGGGCACCACGGTCCTCGGCGGCGGCTCGGCCGGCGGACCGGGGCAGTATGCGCGCGAGGCGTTCGGCGACCCGGTGTCTCAGCTGCACAAGATTGCGCTCGAGGCGCTCGAGGACCCCGTCGCCGCCGTGCCGCGGCCCATGGGCGACTCGGGCGAGGCCCTCTCGCCCGGCCAGGGCGGGCCCTTCCTCGCCTGCCTCAACGAGTCGGTCGGCATGCACCGGCCGAGCGAACCGCGCAGGTGGGTGTCGAACCCGTTCAGCGTGCCCTCGACGCCGACGACGCCGGTCACGCCGATGAACCTCGCCGCCGCCGCCGCCGCCGCCGCCG